TTGGAAAACGATCATGCCATCGAAGTCGTAGCAGAAAAGAAAAGACAAAACCTTCGACAAAAGACAAAACTATCGATGCTAACGCTACTAAACAGTACTTTTCGATTTTCACACATGTGCACTGTATCTAAGTATTGAAACCTACCTTCACAGAGAGTTCCAGTATATCCAGTCACACACTGACAGGTGAAGCTGTTCACTCCGTCCTGACATGTAGCGTTATTTTGACAGGGGTCGCTGCTGCACTCGTCTATATCTGCATATCAAGAGTGAAGATGACGAACTTATCAATGCCAAACCTTAAATGTGACAGCACCATCCAGCAATGTCATGAGCTGCGGATTCACATAAGCACAACAAGTGCTTCCAATCCAATGCTCAAAAATCCATGTGAATAAAATAAAATAAAATAAAATAAAACAAAATTTAAAGGAAGAAGACAAAAATAACAGGAAATAAACAGAAACAATTCGAATGTGTTGCAAAAAAGTCGATGTGTTGGAACGAAGCTTGAAGTCCAAACAAATAATATTAGGTAACGTTACTGAATACTGCGATGAAATACTTCGATAAGTGGGAGACTGCTCCAACATTAAGTGTACGGACCACTCGGTCAGAGTTAAAGCGTCTTAGGGACTATGACCCTCACCTACTCTTCTGTCCACCAGCAAGAGTCACGGCATACCGGAGCAGTCTACGGTACTATGGTCCTTACCTGTGGAACACTCTTCTGCTACAGCAATGACAGCTCCTTAGTCTCAGGACTTTAAAACAGTTCATTAGGAGCAGGACTTCTCAGGACTTTTAAACTGTGCGATCATTAGGTGCGGGACTTGACACTGTTGATGTTTAGGATGTTGTAATTTGTGATAGTTTATGTATTGTGTATTTGTGTGTGTATTTTTATGTGTATCCAGGATTACCTGAAAAGCAGGCCAAAATGGTCTGAGTTGTAATTACTGGTGAAATCAATAAATTGAAATTGAATTGAATTGATAAAACTGTGCCTACCTGTTTCACACAAAGTTCCATTATAGCCAGGCACACACTGACAGGTGAAGTTGTTCTCCCCGTCGTCCTGACATGTAGCTCCATTAAGACAGGGGGCGCTGCTGCAAGGGCCTGGATCTGCAACCAAAATTATTCACAAGAACATAGTATACATATGAAGAGATTCAAACGTTGTGTAGATAAGTGTTAGGGAATTTTTTCAATGACATGTATGTGTATAATGTGTATATGTGTATAAAATTTACACATATACACATTATACACATACATGTCATTGAAAAAATCGACTCCATCAGCACGGAATGGACCCTTCTACTGCAGCTTCCGGGACGTGACACCGGAAACCCGTGATTGCAGCAAAGGGTCGTACGTGTCAGATAACCTGTGTTGCCCCCCGTCTCTGTTCAGTGTTGGACGTACGACCCTTTGCTGCAATCACTGCAATCCAGTGTGAAACTACGTCAAGCCGGTGAGGATACCTGCACACAGGGCGTACAATCAGAAAGAAAAGTGAATATTGTCAAAAGCTGAACTTAAATTTGGTTGAATTTTGTTTTGCTGCATGTTTTGAGTCGCATATATGCCAAGGATAACTAGAGGTCGGAGATCTCATGTCTCCGTCAGAGGTACATCGTTCTAGAGAAATTAACATGCGTATTCTTCACTCTTTTTAATAATCAATTTGGTCTAAAGAACAAAAGAATCTCTGTACTATTTTTATGGTACAGAACACCCTGAAACGGTTTGCCGCAGATTATACAGATGCGTCGTCACCCGTGTTAGCCCCCCCCCCTACGTTATTTGAGTTTGGACTGTTACTGAAAAAAAAAAAACGTTCAAGAAATTCTTACTGTGTTGAAAGTGTCACGACAGCGCCGCAAAATATAATAAGAGAAGATGTTATAAAGGAAAGAATCAGAACAGGGTGACTACTGCTGTTTTGTTAATTTGTCTTTATGACAAATAGAAGACTTGTTTCTTGTGTTCTTTGTGTCCTAACATTTTTACTTCTACAGTTAGTATATTCCAAATCTATATGCATCTCGTTTTTCGGCCCTTCGTGTTTTTATTGCGCGCTTGCCTTAAATTTAAGGTAATTAGATTTAAGGTCTCCAGTGGACGTCATCCATAGCAATTACTTGGTGTGGCCGTAGAAAATAACCTGACATATGTCCAACCTATCCTCCCCCTGCTGAAGTTATAGTACAATCCCTCAATGTAACGTCATTTGATCCCATCCCATTATGGGGTTCCCCGGCTATATCCAGCTGTCGGCTGTCTCCAAGCAGATGTAGGTGGGGATTTCTAAACACAAAAGGTCCTATTACGGGGACATAACGACCTCCACGACTCTCATCTTTGAACTCAATCTTGGAGACCACCACAGTAACATGCCTATCAAATTTCATTAAATTCCATTTACACATACAAAAGTTATCCTGCTCACAAGAAAAATTAACAAAATGCCCCCTGTAGTCACAACGAAACCCCCCACGAAGCTCAGTAACGAACTTAACCTTGGTCCTGACAATAGTAAGCACCACACCAAGAATTATAATCAACATTTTACAAATACTTGAGTTATCTTGCTAACAAGCCACAAACACAAAAGGTGCACTAACGTGACGTACGGACCCCCCACGAAGCCGAAACTTGTACTTTACTTCGGCCTTAACAGCGGTAATCTGTCTGCCAAAAATCATGGACGTCGAATCATGCCTTTCAGAGTTATATCGCAAAATCCGCAGTTCCCCACACTCCGGCGAGACAATTTCATAGTCCTTCTGACGAAGACAATGAACCCACATTCTTTTCTTAAACATAAGGAATAAATGAGACGAAAGGGCTTTTTAACAAACTAAGGAATTGTTTGAATAGCAAAGTTCTTTGATCACAACCATTCATTTTTTACGAGCCGACGTTTCGATGACCGTCTGTCGTCTTCATCAGGGCAATTCTGACTGGTTTACTGTGCACTGACGGTAGACATTACTTGGTGCATAGTGCACTAAAGGTATTACATAGTTCACAGTGCATTACTTGGTGCATAGTGCACTAAAGGTATTACATAGTTCACAGTGCATTTAAGCTAGTTTTTACTGTTTACTAGCGTCAGTGCACAGTAAACCAGTCAGAATTGCCCTGATGAAGATGACAGGCGGTCATCGAAACAACGGCTCGTAAAAAATAAATGGTTGTGATCAAAGATCTTTGCTATTCATTCGTTTACCAACCATGATGGATTTATTTACGGATGTAAATAATTGTTTGCTGTCAATTACTACTAATTATGGGCACCCAATGTACACATGATGGTGGTTTCCAGTGTGAAACAAGGCTGCACCCTTACCCGCACACAGGGCGTACATGTCGCTGTAGTTCGCTCCCTCCAGACAGTAGGTGTTAGTCCCGTAGTCCACTCCGCAGGCGCCGTTACCGCTCCAGCCGTGGATGTACACGAAGGTGTCGTCCAGGGGCCGGCAGTCCCAGTAGTCGGTAGTTCCGCACAGGTTTGCCGCCAGGACGGTGTGGGTGCGACAGCTGTCGCCGCCGTCATACCTGTTACGTCGATGAAGGTTAGACATCCAGGTAATACGATACGCCAAAAAACAGTTACTCAAGCAACTGGATATGATTTTGAAAACGTCAGACGTTTCAGCTAGTATCCACTAGCTTTCGTCAGTGACTGAGAGACCAGAGTGGATACTAGCTGAAACGTCTGACGTTTTCAAAATCATATCCAGTTGCTTGAGTAACTACTTTTTGGTCATACCTGATGCAGCCCGAGGTCCAGTAGCCGAAGGAACATCCAGCGCCGCCGGAGAAATGACACGGGTACCGCAGCCCCACAGCTTCGCACGCGGCCTTGAGATTGGCGTTGGACATCGAGGAGCGGCCGGTCACACGAACTTTGTAAAAATTCCAGCTGTCGACCGTGGTCAGGTATTCTTCGCCTTCAAGGAGGGAACATACCACATGTTAATAATGTTTTAGAAACACCTTAATTATTCAGTTTACCTCTGCCGAACTAACAAAATATCAAAACATGGGAAAATGTACTATATATAGGGAAAACGTAGGTGCTAGAAATAATTATTAATCATAAGTTGGTGATCCGTCTGATCTAAAGTAGTCATTTGCCTTAGTACCCACACTTATGGGACGTCTATTTGCCTAACTAGATAGGCAGCCTATTTGCCTAACTAGATAGACAGCCTATTTGCCTAACTAGATATAAAGCCCATTTGCCTAACTAGATAGGAAGCACATTTGCCTAACTAACATAAAAGACCATTTGCCTAACTTACATAGAGATCCCATCTGCCTTACTAGGTGCAAAACCTATTTGCCTACTCAACCAGCATTACTGCCAAACAAAACTCACTCGGTTGGCCAACGCTCCAGCAACGGAGACAACAACAGCGTCTATGCCTCCTCTACAAAGCAGTCAACAATCTTATATCCATCCCTCTACACCACATTCTTACAAGAAACACAAACCCGACCAGAAGACACAGCTACGTTTCAACACACTACACTGTAGAACAGAGACCTTTAGAGGTAGCTTTTTCCCACGAACAGTTATTGAATGGAACGCCTTACCTAACCATCTGGTAATGGCTAAGTCAGTTGAGCATTTTAAAGCTGGGGTAGCCAGCCAGTATGGCTTCCCTAGCCATACTTCCCTATATAGTTACTGTACTTGTTTTTGTTATTGTTTGTTTGTTTGTTTGTTTGTTTTTCTCACCACCACCACCGGTCACGCTGGGGAACGACCACTCTCTTAAGCATTAGACCCCGCGAGGGGTATTGCTTAGTTCTGTATAGATAGAAAGATACCCTAACTTACATAGAAAGCCCATTTGCCTAACTAGATGCAAAACCTATTTGCCTAACTTACATAGAAGCCCATTGCCTAACTAGATAGAGAGCCCATTTTGCCTAACTTACATAGAAAGGCCATTTGCCTAACTAGACAGAGAGTAAATTTGCCTAACTACATAGTCAATTTGCCTAACTAGATAGGAAGCCCATTTGCCAAACAAGATAGACAGCAAATTTGCCTACCTTACATAGAAAGCCAATTTGCCTACTGTAAGTCTATAAATTTCCGCGGTATATTTATAGCAAAAGCTAAGCTGAGGTCACAATTCCCACACGGAGGGGGGGGATTTGGGGAACGAAAAAAATATTATATAAAAGACAACAAAACACAGAAAAGTTCTTAATAACAATCATGGACACTATTTCCGTATATTCTTGATATGAATTGTTCATGTTTCGTTCATACAAACAGCCCGACCGGGCACCGGTTTGGAAATGTGACCTAAGCATAAGCGATACTTCACTGATGGAAAGGGGGTTCTCGTGAATAAAATAATGATGATGATGACTGGTTTATTATTCACATAAACAAATACACAGACATACAGGTTTAAAAGTCGGTGGTAGCCTAAATTGCTGAATTGTAGACTTTTTACAATTTAAAATCTTGAGAATATTATCAATTCAGACTTGAATACAAACACTACATATACATAGAAAATACAATATGAAAAGTACGAAAGGCCTGTTCGGCCAGTATAACATCCAGTATGTTACAAAACTTGCGTTTCGTTCAGCAACTTTGTCATATAGTATATTGCGCTCTTAGTGAATCGGACAGTTCTGTGTCTGAGAGTTTATAGCTGTTTACTCGACCTGGTCGTACTAATGTACCTAAACCACATCGTTTTGTACCTTTTCTCATTTCTGTGCACCCCTCCCCTTCCTCCAAAAACGCATAGATGTAGAACAAATTATAGTTGTATTATAATATAGAACTATATTATTTAGACCGCTTATTCTTCTGTTACTTAAGTTCATGCTTAATTTACCTTATTTTAAATTTGCCCCTTGATTGTACATAAGTTTTCTTCAGTGATTAGTTTATGTTGCATTATATTGTTATTATTTTATTGTGTTCGGGGATTGCCCACCAGGGTGCATTGAAAACCACCCTCCAGGGCGATATGTTTCTCTGGTTAAATAAACAATAAACAAAAAAACAAACAAACAAATGACAGGATCGGTCGATCGGTCGATCGCAGGCCCACCATTTTAACTATATTTAACTATACTATAGCTGATATAGTGGATTGGCGTATGGCACAATAATACATAAATGCATGCATAATCCAAGAGTAGTACTAGTACTATATATATTCTGTTTTCCCCTTGCAAGGAAATAAGCACATATTAAATACCCACCTATTGCCGAGTCCGGCCAGACGACCACAGCCGCGATGAAGACCAGAAACTTCCACATGTTCACCATATGCTGAGTTGAGTCCAGACTCCGTGATGTGTGTGAGGCTTGTTCTGTATACCGTGTCCCAAAGTAGGCCATGGGAACCACACACCTGGCCGGTAGGGACGGGCGATATTAATATCTCTGCGTGTGTAAAGTCTTGCTTGACCTGGCATCATAGTACGAGGTAACCCTCTGGCCTCTCCACTGTATTTCATTAATTGAAGCTAGCTTTAATTGTTGCGCATATAAGTAAGTAGGCCTGCGTGTAGATTGTTGTTAAGATTGCTATTGGTAAACTACCATTTAAGCTGTTTGTTGTTGTATATAATTTTAGCTATTAAGTTTGTAATTGATTATATTTCTTCTTTTAAATGTAAAGTACTCCAGAAAGACTAGTGAACAAACTTTGTATTACTAATGGTGATTCCTAAAAAACATGACATGACATAACATAACATAACATAACATAACATAACATAACATAACATAACATAACATAACATAACATAACATAACATAACATAACATAACATAACATAACATGTGTTGACTCTCTAACATCAGCTTTGCTGCCTTGAGAGTCAGTGTAATGTCTTGTTGCATTTTCAATAAATAGATAATAACATAACATAACATAACATACGAGGGGTGATCCAAAAGTTCTCGGCCTCTCCCAAAAAACGTGATGGCAGAAACATTTTTCTTACACTATTTTTTAACATAGTCTCCTCTAACTTCATTGCACTTGGTCCAGTGATGTTCCAGCTTTCCTTTCCCTTGTGGAAGAATATTTTGTCTGAAGCCCTTAAAAATGCCTAAACCACATCAATGACGCCATCATCACCATCAAAACGTTGACCACGTAAGTGGAACTTGAGTTTAGGAAACAGGTAGAAGGCCCACGGTGCTAGGTCAGGTGAATAGGAAGAGTGGGGTAAGACTTCAAAGCCACATTCGTTTGCTGCTGCCACTGACCCCTGTGCCGTGTGGACAGGTGAATTGTCAGCACGTCAACTTGGAGCTTTTCTCCCCTTTTCTTTGTGGTTGTTGCCCTCAAATGCCGCAACTCTGGTGCACAGTATACCCCCCTGATGGTTTGACCCTTTTGCAGGTAGTCAATAATGATAACCCCCTCACTTTCCAAGAAAACAGAGGCAAAAACCTTTTCAACGGGTAAAACTCGCTTGGGATGCTGGGAACCGTTCTTCATCAATTATTTGCTCTGCTGTTTGATTCGGAGTGAAAGTGGTGAACCCATGTCTCATATTGGGTGACAAATCGTTTGAGTAAGTTGCCTTGATGGACTGAATTCGTTCCTTGAAATGCCCAGCCTGATTAACGTGTGATGTTCAGAAAACATTCTAGGCACCCATCATGCAGACAGGTTGCTCATCCCCAGGATGTACGACAAAACATTGTGAACTGTACCACAAGTCAGGCCAAAGACCCTGCTACAAGTTGGACCGTCTCACACCTGTCATTTACTACCATGTGATGGATGGCCTCAACTGGATTGTCCATGGTGCTGATTTGTAGCATCCTGACATATGTTCATCTTTTGTGCTCTCCTTGACGCGCTTAGAGCTAGCAACCCAGTTCTTTGTGGTTAAATAAGAGGGGGAGTCATCACCAAGTGACTTGATCATGTCTTTATGGATTTCCCTAGGAGACATAGCTTTTTATCGATACACTTGATCATAGCACACGCTTCTGGTGCGGCCATTTTGTGATTTTGCCCTCACCCGCCCAATTTTCACGGGGCATCACGTGCTAATTATTGAATGCAAAAATTTTCATTTTTGTGGGCAGTGATGTAAGACGTCATAGTATACAGTTATGCTAAAGAATACGCGTTTGACCTCTAATTTCTAGGTGAGGCCGAGAACTTTTGGATCACCCCTCGTAACATAACTTCGGGGAGAGATCAGTGGGAGGGAAACAAGACAGAACAAAAAACTAGACCAATTGCCAGTACGCACAGCAAGATATTCGAAAAGCCCATTGCCTTACCTCCTCCAGCTTTTAAACAGCACTCTGTAATGTAATCTTGTAATGTACATGCCGTTATATACTTTGATTTTAATCTAGTACTTTTAATGAGGTTGGTACTTTTAACCTTAAGTGTATTGTAGAAACGTAATCATTATATTCTCACAATATGTTTTTAAACAATGTACGAGACATGTAATTCCACCTTCAGGCTGCGATGTGTTTCAAATAAAACCCGCATTATTATAACATAACATAACATAACATAACATGACCTGGCGGGTGGGGTCGTGTGACGTAGCGGCAGAGTGCTCTACTCGGAACCAAGAGGTCCCGAGTTCGAGTCCTGACATGCCACCGATCTTGTGCCCTTGGCAAAAATAATTTACACGACTTTCCTCACTTAACTCAAGTAACAATGAGTATTGTCCTGTCATGTATTTGTCCTCTGCGTGGGTGACGGTATAAAATAGTTGATATAACTTGAGTGTGCCATCACCATGTTCAGTCATGAAGTGTTGGAATAAAAAAATAATGTATCAGAATATAATGGATGTTAGTGCGTCTTTAAACGATGTGCCTGTATCTATTGTTTAGACGTATAACACACCACAATCTCACGCTCCCTCCCTCCCTCAGGAACACACGCAGACATATAAACACAAACACATAACATTCAGCCCCCTCCCCAAGCACACACAACACACACACACACACACACACACACGGATATTCTTAAATGGCTAAGCGTGCATTTTATTATTATGCGTCGTAATCTAAATATTATAAAAATATTTTCTTAAAATCCGTACGTTAGAACATATAACAGGACATCACAAAACTACGTACTTATAGAGGAAGGCAGGTTGAATAAACTTTTACATTGATTCTTAGCAAGGGTCTTTTTGGGAATTGTAAAAGACCGGATCCTACTGTCAACATCCATTACGCACGGTAGCAACAAACACATCTAAACCCCCAACGAGCCTCCCTATGCTACAGCTAGCCCTGACCCTATTGACACACCTACTTAGTGGATCTATAATTAACACAAAGTACACAATTCTCTTCGGCGGAGGAAAACGTGACAGACCACGTGGAAGAATGACCTCATATTACGTCGCAAGGTATGAGGGCCTGCATGGGGGTTACTTACTTGTACTTGTTGAGGTCTCCTCGAGTCAGTCGTTCGAGTGGCCTGCGCACAGAACTTGTCTCTTCCTCAACAGTCCTCTCCACTCCTTCCTATCTCTTGCTAATTCCTTTAAATCTTCTAGACTGGTACTGGGCCTCCCTAAGATCAGCACAGCATCTTCCAGGACACAGTTATTCCATGACTTCCTAGGCCTTCCCCTAGAGCGTCGCCCATAGTTCGGTTTCCAGTGATTTCGAATTACGCAAAAGTTTTCGCCGCCGATTACGAATTACGATAAAGCCTCAGTGCTTATTACGCTTTGCAGTTAATGTTCTATTACGAATTACGTTGATTTTTGGAGAGGCTGCCTACATATACGAATTAAGAAGACTAAAAAGGTCTGATTACGCCTTACGAAAAGGGACATGCAGGCCCCCAGGTATATCTTCTCCTTAACCCTATCTAGGCGGCGCTGGACTTCTTCCTCCTGTGCGTCAACACTCTGCCGACCCACCAGGACTACAGACGCCTGCTGGAGGAAGCAGGCTTCCAAGTCTCGGTGAGGGATTTCTCTTTGACTTTACACTTCATTCTAGTCTCTATCTTCTCTCTCTCTATATATATATATAGCTCTCTCTCTTCCTCCTGTGCGTCAACACTCTGCCGACCCAACAGGACTACAGCCGCCTGCTGGAGGAGGCAGGCTTCCAAGTCACGGTCAGGATTTTCTCTTTGTACTTCATTCTAGTCCCTAGCCTCTCTCACTCCTCCCTCTCTTCTCTTACTCTCCCCCTCTCTCTGCTGGAGGAGGCAGGCTTCCAAGTCACGGTGAGGGGTTTCATCTTTGCACTTCATTCTAGTCTCTATCCTCTCTTTCTCTCTCTTTCTCTCTCTCTCTCTCACACACACCTCCCTCTCCCCCTCTCTCTCTGCTGGAGGAGGAAGGGTTCCAAGTCACGGTCAGGAGTTTCCCTTTGTTCTTCATTCTAGTCTCTAGCCTCTCTCCCCTCCCTCTCCCTCTCTCTCTCTCTGCTGGAGGAGGCAGGCTTCCAAGTCACGGTCAGGAGTTTCTCTTTGTACTTCATTCTAGTCCCTAGCCTCTCTCACTCTCTTTCTCTCTCTCTCTCACCTCTCCCTCTCCCCTATTCTATGTTCTGCCAAAAGTCACAGTGACGATTTTCTCTTTGTACTTCATTCAGAGCGAGTGAAATGTCAATTTTTTACTTCTCTCTCTCTCTCACTCCCTCATGTCGCACCTCTCTCTGTCTCTCTCTGTGTGCGTCTGTCTGTATGTATGTGATTGTCTCTGTGTCAGTCTGTGTTTTTGGCTCTATTTCTAGCTTTGTACGTACGTCACAGTGTGTGTGTGTGTGTGTGTGTGTGTGTGTGTCCTCGTCTCTCTCTCTCTCTTCGTCTCTCTCTCTCTCTCTCTCTCTTCGTCTCTCTCTGTGTCTCTCTGTCTGTCTCTCTCTCTAAGTAGATTTAGACATTGTTGAAGGTTTGACATCCATATGAACGATATAGATAAACAAAGGTTTCTAAAACTGGGAATCGTGAAGTCATGTTTATTTTCTTTTTCACATGATTTTGAAACTGTAGAGAGTACTTTGTCGATGTCCGAACCTCATTCAGCAGATTTGGAGATTTACTGTCTGAATCTTGCCCCTACAGGTGCACGACATTTCTGACGCGTACGCCGAGTACACGTACGGGCGCTGGTCGAACTGGGACGAGCAGCGCGACAAGTACGTCCGTCTGTACGGGGAGGACATGGTGGACGGATGGCTCAACTTCATCGTCACCGCAAAGAAGCTGTGCAACGACTTCGGCCTGGTGGGAGGGGGGCGCTTCGTCGCGCGTAAATTGTGAAGATAGAAGTCTGAAAAGGGCAGTTCTAGTCTGTGTACGGTGTAACACAAGAGATGAAACTACAATTACACTTTAACAAAGGTCCAAGTTACATAGTGACTGGTGTTGTAGAGCTGGTGGGAGCTTCGTCACGCGTAAGGTATAAAAAAGAAAAATCTGAAGGAGGCGATTCTAGGCTGTGTTGCACAAAAGATGAAACTTCGACTGCACCTAATTTATAAATGAAGGTGCAAGTTACATGGTGATTGGTGGTAAAGGGATGGTCAGAGGGAGAGGGGGACGTTGGTCGGTGTGAAGACAGAAATCTGAAGGAGGCGATTCTAGCCTGTATTACACAATTATTTCATAGTTGTAACTGCTGGGAATTTCATACTTGCAACATTTGGAAGTTAAGTGAAGATGAACATAATCATTACCTCATTTGCATAATTTCTGCAGAAGTGCTAGAATAGCCTTTTTGTTAAGATAAGGCTGTCATTGGGTGAAGAATATGAAATATGATCAACTGGTATAATCCATGCAAATGAGGCTCTTATTTTCGAAATCAATGATTAAAATTGTATAGATTAAAATTGTATAATTCGTCAACCTGAAGGGCTTACATCATTTGGCGAAGGTATGAGATCGTGGAAATCTTGTTTTACTTTTTACATTAATCTCCAAGCAGATGTTGGGATGGAAGACCGTAACGCTACCTCACAAAGCAATACAACTTAATGATAATAAACTGAATGAAAAAGTACGTGTGGAACCTTGCAACTTTATTTCACAACTTTATTCCACAACTTTATTTCGCAACTTAACTTTCTTTTGCGTGCAGCGCAAGCCAAACTCTGAAGCCACAATGTGGCAAAATGTTACGTAATGAAGCTTCGCGCAAACAAACGTTGAAGCTACGTGGTGAAAATTCAGCCACGGAGGCAGGTGTAGCCGGAGTAGCCGTCCTCCCTGCAGCTCCAATCGGGACCGCATGACGTCGCCGCGCAGAAGTGGCCGGTGTATCCGCGGCTCCCACCGGGCGCTGTATGAAAACAAAAAAGTTGTTAATGCCTGGTGTTTTAAGAAGTTTAGACGGAGTTTGCATCTGTTTTACGCAACTTAACGTGTATGCAAAAGTTAGAATTTCTGTATACTACAATTGTTTCGATTCACTACTCGGTTGTTGGTTATTTCCAATCACGGTTCTATAAGCATTGGACAGAACGTATTTCGCCTGCATGCTCACGAAACCCGTTTTTAGTAGCATATTGTGTCCGAGAAAGTATTCTCTGCAACAGGCAAAATTCTGGTGGAAGGTTGATCAAACATCCAACCGTGTCTGGCAGGCGCAGTACGTTCTGCCGACGTGCTGGTTGCACATATCACACAGTGACCATGAACATGCTCGTTTCTCACCTTGGCAGTGGAAGGCGCCAAGGTCCGGGGCCACACAGGTCCAGCCAGACGGACAGGGGTTGGGGTCACACCAGTTTATAGCTCAAGAGAAAAATATGAAAATTCCAGGATTATTCAGAGTACATTTTGTCGCAGCACAACACAATCTAAAACAGCAAACGTATGGCTTTTTCAAAAGCTAGAACCTGGAAAATCCAGACATTTACATTCCTCTAGAACTGTGTAGAACAGTGCCTATGTCAAAATTATGTGATATAAAACTTCACATCTATACAAATCCTAATTTAGGATCCATTCCCACCAGGCAAAACTTGTCCGGATCGAGCTAAATTGATTCGCTTTGAATTTGCTTCGAGCCGGATCGAAGCAGGATCAAAGCCGGATGAAAACGAATCAATTCGGCTCGATCCGGACAATTTAGTCCTAGTGGGAATGTAGCCTTAGATGGCAGGTACCTGTCTCACAGCTGTTCCCGGTGAATCCAGGTGGGCACTGGCAGGTGTAGCCGTTCACGTGATCCACGCAGGTGGCGCTTTGAGAACAGGGTGAGCTCTGGCACTCGTCAATGTCTGAAAGTGGGAATGGGAAAACAATATGTACTCATAGACTCATAGGCCGGAAGCTGGTATGTTTACTAGACTAAGTGCACGTGTTGTCCAACGGCAACAAAATCGTGCAATGGCCCTCAATGAATATGACCATGCCGCCATTTGTTGTAGGCCGCAATTTTGATGTCATAAGATTTCCAAGCAGCTAGCCAGCGACAAAGATCCAAGACAATCTTTGGCGTAAGAAGGAAGCTGGGTTTTATCGGGACATAAAACTCGTAGTCTCCACCAGACTTCTTTTGCAGGCTGAATAGATAGTAGAAATCGGCCTAAAAAGGGATACAATTGGCAAGAGAAGGTGTCTGCCGATAGAAACCCAAATTTGCCTGCAAAAGAAGTCAGGTGGAGACGAACGCACTCGTACGGCAATCGATCGTGTGGCGTGTGTTTCAGTGCCGTCATTCAGAAAACCTTAGGATTAACTCTGTGGAGGAAACCTTGTAGCCTCCAGGGCAGGCCTCAGCCAGCCGTAGTTTAGATACTGCGATGTTTTGTCAAAGAAGGTTATGCCGGGAAAGAGGGTTATACCTAGTCTGGGTACCATCCTGGTTAGTTTACGTCCGCTCCCACAGTCGCTATACCACCAACCAGTAACCTGGATGGTACCCAGGCTAGGTTATATCCGCCAAGCCGTATTTAACTAAACTCCAGCACGCTGAAACCTTGCCATATTCTACTCACCGATCTGGCACGTGTCCCCGAACCAGCCCGGCTCACACCAACACACGTAGTACGGCTCATGGTCCCCATTCGGACAGTTGGAGCCGCAGGAGTAGTGCTTCACGCGATCCTCGCAGGTCCCGTGCAGGCAGGGGGAACTGCTGCAGCTGCTGGGTTCTGCAGAAGGCAAACACATTTTTTTAGCCTGGATACCAAAATAATTTAGTCAGGGAAGCGACCAAGAGAGCTTACAAAGCTGAATTGTCTAGCATCCAAGTTAAACAAAAATAATACCATGTAATTAACAAGAATTCCGAGATCTCATACCTCCATGAAATATGGGCTTGATATGTAAATGTAAATTTCCTCTTTAATTATGCAAATTACCTCCGCATTAACATGATATATGCATCGTGATGTATGTTAACTTTTGATTAACTTACAGATGTCCCAAGTATGACATTCCCATTATTCACCATTAAGAAATCATAGAATTTTTTCATAAATTATGCAAATTAGGTCATCATTTGCATAATTAGTATCTGTTGATGTTCTGCCATAGGTTATATACATTACATGTATGAAAGTAGTATAATGTAAAACACTGTAATCATAGAATTTCTTCATTAATTATGAAAATAAAGTCCTCATTTGCATAATTTGCATTTAATCATGTACATCTCTCTCTCAGCTACTCGTACCTACACACCAAAAATAATGAAAATATGTTGTTCCTATCTGGACTTATTGGCTTTTAAACATTTCGCCAGAAAGTGCCCTGCAGTTCCAGAACAAGCTGCTAGGGGGACCAAACTCACATCACTTATTCCTGACAGGAAAAGCAATCTGTCACCAAAACATCAAGACCATAGCATGTTCAGGACAAAAGATACAAAAACCGGAAGTTCTGCTGCAGTACCAAGGTCATCCACCAGGAGGCCCATATTTGACCTTGACGTTTGTCTTCCTAAGACTTACCAACATACCAAATATCATCATAATCCATAAAGGCGTTCTGAAGTTATGCTGACCACAAAGTTGCGGAAACACAGACAGACAGACATACATACATACAGACACACCAAAAACAATACCTCCATTTTTCATGGAGGTAATTAGGTGCTGAAGGGCATCGTCATCACTGTTTTGGGTATGCTGCCCGGACTTATCAATATGACCTGAACGATTAAGAAGATTCTTTGGATGACCGTTTGCCAAGAAATGCTTTGATTAACCAGAATCACAGAAGTAGCCAGTGATTTACTGAGTGCATGGAAAAAAGGACAACGTCTACTAGAAAATAATAACAGGAAGGAAGGAAGAAAAAATTATGAATTAATAAAAGAATGAATGAAGGACGGAAGGAAGGGATTAAGGAAGAAACGAAAGAAGAAAAGAAAGAAAGAAAAAGAAAGAAAGAAAGAAAGAAAGAAGGAAGGAAAGTAGAAAAGGAAAATAACAGCAGTATTTCCACAGAACTAGATGGGAGTATTTTCAACTGGTAGTTTCCTTACTTGCGCACAGGGCATATTTGTCGCTTACGCCAGATCCCTGAACTCCTGTGTTAGAGACAACGTCATGGCCCTGTGCACTGTCTGTTGCCAAGTCCGGTCGGACCACAAAAAGGTCGTGCAGAGCAGGGCAGATCAAAGGGTTGTACTCTACGCACAGGTGGGCGGACAGAATGGTTTGAATATGGTTGCTGATCCCATCGGCGCTGTATGTTATGCAGCCCGGTTCCCAGTAGATGCCATCATGGAAGTCACCATCTCTACCGAAGCATGGGTACTGCATCCCTGCAGCTTCACATGTAGACTTGACATTGACATTAGTCATCGGGCCCGTGACCTTGACTTTGTAAAAGCCCCACCCACTCCATGAGGATAGATATACCGAGAATCCTATGGAAGAAGAAAAAAAAAACAACTTAATAAACAAATATTCTTTTTTCCTCTTTTAAAAGGAATGATTACCTACATGAAAATTTGGTATTGTTTTTTTAATCTTTGTGTATGTGTGTATGTGTATATGTGTGTATGTGTGTGTGTGTGTGTGTGTATGTATGTGTGTGTGTGTGTGTGTGTGTGTGTGTGTGTGTGTGTGTGTTTGTATGTGTGTGAGTGTGTGTGTGTTTGCGGATGAAGTATGCTGTACATGTCCTCATAATGACGTCAGCCCGCCATGCCAAGACATCTATGTCCATGATACTAGAGGGCAAGCGGAAAAGAGGGAGACCCAAGCTGACATGGCGACGCACCTTCCAAAAAGGTTTTGAAAATTAGATGGGTGCTTTTGGCGGATGCTGAGAATCTGGCCAAAGATCGATCAGAGTGGAGGAAACTTTTAGCCTATTGTGCTAAGCACGGGAGAAACTAAGTCTAAGTAAGTAAATAATGGGCATTTCATATTTGTGACACGTGTAAGCTAGTTTAAGGTTAACATCTCTAGCACATACTATGTGGATGTGGATGTTACAATGCATAATTAATGATGAAATGTTAAAATGAAACCTTGCCGGAGGATGGGACTTTCACATATGTTATATTTGTAATTAAATTTGATGAAAGCGTAAATAGATTTATGAATCGACACTGTACGTATATGTACTGAGGTCTTGAGTCGTGGAGCTTCGGTAGCCTGGGTGCCATCCTCCAGAGTTACCACCGACTACGTACTGTCGCTATATAGCAAGCTACCATGGACTATCTTTTTTTTTGAGAACAGGCGAAAATCAATGCGCGCGCGGATGTCATCCATAAAATTAAGGCCGTCTGGCCTAAAAATAGAAAGGCTCTTAATATTTTTCATGTAGGTATGAGATATCCGAATTCTTGTTGGATATTCAATATGCCTAATATACCATGTGCCCGATATGCGGGTCGTATGTAGCCTCTACCTTGCACCGCGCATCTCTGGAAAAATAGTAGAAATTGGCCCAAATAAAGGGAATAGTATACAAGGGGTGTTAGTCGAGCAGAGAGGGTCCAATATGTCGTGTGGCGTAACGGTAGAGTGCTCGACTTTGAACCAAGAGGTCCCAGATTCGAGTCCTGACATGCCACCGATCTTGTGCTCTTGGGAAAGGCACTTTACACGACTTTCGTCACTTAGCTCAAATGAAAATGGGTATTGCTCTTGGACACGTTACAACTTAGGTGTCATGGTTACGGCAATTTAAGTTTCTGAGTTCGAATCCCTAGCAGGCCCTAACGAACCGTTGTGCTATTGGGAGGGGTACTTTATACCTTCCTTCTTTGAATAAGGCCACGCCGTCCTCTGAAGACCCCCAAACTAGTGCGCGCGTGGGAATAAAAAAAATCCGGCCAAAAAACCCTACTAAACTGCTACTAAACCACAGGAATACAAATCTGGTATTGTGAATTTGCGGCAGTACTTAGCGATGTATACGACACATGTTGGCTTTTTGCGGAATTTATGAATCGGCACTGTACGTAAGTACTGAGTTCTTGAGTCGTGGAGCTTCGGTAGCCTGGGTGCACGGCTCCGTATTGTCGCTAAGTACCAGGGACTACGTATACCCAGGCCTAGACCTTCGGTGGACGTGACTTTATTTTAGAACAGGCGAAAATCAATGCGCGCGTGGATGTCATCCATAAAATTAAGACGGTGTGGCCTAAGGTGAAAATCATTGAGTAACTGGCTTTAGTTAGGGGCATTCTGTCGTCGTTTCACTCGTAAAACTAGCAGGCCCCATGTTTGAGAATAGTCACACCTCGAGCACATGAAAAATCACACCGTACTTATCGAAAAGATTCGGGGTCCATCCATGTGTAAGGGGATCAAATCTTACAGTCTGGTCGTACGCAGTTTGTTCTTACTGTACATGTACAAAACTTGAAGCCTCTACCAGGCTTCGTGAAGCGGCTGGAAAGGGTTGAAATTTGCCAAATAGTCGGATCCATATGCCAAGGGAGTTGGTCCGCCAAGAAAACAGTTTGCAGCTCGTGATAAAAAATGTGTCTTAGCGGACCAACTCTCTATGAGTATTTGGCCAATTTCCACCCTTTCCAGCCGCTTCCCGAAGCCTGGTAGAGGCTTCAAAACCATGGTGTGTTACACCTAAAGGCGGTTTACCGGTTATGCAAAACAAAGAAATGTCGACGTCCTTACCTGAAGCCAAGGTGATCGCACAGGCCACAAGGACCAGAGAAGACAGAACGAGGCGCCCCATGTCGGGTGCAGTGGCAGGTATCCTGATATCGCGGTGAACTACTGTCTTTATATAGTCTGCCAGATACAAGTAGGTATGTTGATAAAAGTAAATGTCGTCCTATATATTTTTAGCGGTCCACTTCAACAATTTCAACAGTTGCCTTCCTGTTGATTGTACGAGTGTCCGCAATTATTAAAACTTTCAATAGACTATCAAACAAGAGTCAAGACTGTTTGTATAAGGCCGGTTATTGAATACCGCCTGCGATGGACGTTACCAAATAATTGTCAAATATTATTTTACCTCAGACAGACCATATATTTCAAAGCTGTCTAGATCTATAGTATAGATGTATGTATTGTGTGCTCAAATTTAATGTAATGTGCATAATTTTGATATTAGGAAGAGTAGTGAAGGGTGTATATTTATATGTACTATCACTAATGGAGTTCTTTGATGTTAGATGTTAGAAATTCTACTAATAAGTAAACGCAAAATCACATGTTTATCCGACACCGTATTAAATCTCTAGTAACTGAAGGTAGTTAAGTCTCGTAGTATGTTTGCTATATAGCTATAGACACATTGTATAATTATATGCATTGTGCCTCTATTTTGATATTTTAAAATGTTAGAATATATGCTGATATCATGTGTCCCCGGAGTTTCAAATGAAATCACATATCATGCCCGTAGCCAGGATTTTGAATGGAGGGTTCTTCTCACTGCTGAGCTGAGGGCACCTCGAGCGCCGTAGGCGAGAGGCGAGTACCGAAGGCGCGAGGTTCCTAGGGGGGAAATTTTTGAATAATGAACCTTCTAATATGGCATTTCGTGCATTTTTTAGAGGATTTCCAAAAAAAATTAGTGATAAATTTTTATTCAATGACGAAGAGAGCAGTTTTTCTACGATTCCAGCCCATCTCTTCAAGAAAAATCTTGGACCTTTACATAAAATGTGGACCAAAAAGTGGACCTTTGAGCCTTGTGGGGGGTTCTTCCTACGGGCATGCATATTAAGTACATTGTCAATTTACATTCAAAAGAGCATAGGGTATATGGTATTTGATGACATTCACTGAGTACTCTGTATTTTTACTTTTTAGGTTGGCCCTAAATCACACCGGTACATGTATCAGGTTTCTAACGTATGCACAATATTATGTACTTCAAACATCTTTGGTATTACGGCCATGTTGATTTGGTTATTTGAATGAGTTTCAAATAGAATCACATATTAAAAGTATTAAAAAAATTGTTTGAATTTACATTCAAAAGAGCATAGGTGGGGTCGTGTGGCGTAGCGGCAGAGTGCGCGACTTGGAACTAAGAGTCCCGGGTTCGAGTCCTGACATGCCACTGATCTTGTGCCCTTGGGAAAGGCACTTTACACGACTTTCCTCACTTAGCTCAGGTGAAAATGAGTATTGTCCTGTCATGTATTTATCCCCTGTGTTGGTGGCGGCATTAATATAAGTTGAAAAAACTTGAGTGTGTCGTCACAACGTCTGGTGACTACATGTTGGAATAAATAAAAAAAAAGAGCATAGGGTATAAGATATTTGATAACATTTACAGAGTACTTAAACTACCATCTGTTACTTGCGATGTTTGGAACGCACGGTACATATAGGAGCTAAAATTGGCATCTCCATACTTACTGGACAGTCGGAGATGTAGAACCGATGTGAATATTGCACTTGAAGTTTTTAATAACGGAATGACTGTTTGTCGCCAGTGCAACCGAACGTTTAAAGTATGAATCAAACAAGCGTGATATTTTACAGGCATCTATACGAAAAGGTACAGACCAGATAAAAAATGCGGGGGCTTGTGGCGTAGCGGCAGAGTGCTCGACTCGGAACCAAGAGGTCCAGGGTTCGAGTCCTGACATGCCACCGATCTTGTGCTCTTGGGAAAGGCTTTTTACACGACTTTCCTGGGTATTGTCTTGTCCTGTATTCGTCCTCTACGTTGGTGGTGGCATAAAATATGTTGAATCATATAACTTGAGTGTGCTGTCACCACGTCTAGTCATGAAATGTTGGAATATAAAAAACAAGAAACAAACAGACTATTGCCTAATTATGATGAATAGAACTGACTGGAGATACAAATCCCCAAAAGTTGTAGAACACAGAACGCCTTCCTCCACAGAGCCACCCTTTTATGGCCCTCCCTCCCAGTTGACATACAATCAGCCCCTACACTCTCTTCTTTTAAAGCTAAAGTATGGAAATCCCTTGGGGATCCATATTCTGCTTAATCAAATTAAATTTGTATCAAACCCGACAAACACATTGCATTTTTGTACCTCGACAACGATGTATATACCAGGACTCCATTATTGTATTTTTAAGAATGTATGTATATTGATTATTGCACCATTGCACATAACTGTATATTTCATTAAGCATGTAATTTGTAATTTGCAATATGCATTTCTATGTATGTCTAATAATTTTCATCTAAGGGTGTCCCTTAGTAGTAATAATCTTTGACTAATTGGGACACCCTGGCTTCTTTGTAAGCCAAAAAAATAAATAAACTGGCTGGAGGAACCATATGAGGGAGGGCAAGGGGGCAGATCCTGGTCTGAGCACGTAGGCAGATAGACAGGCATGCAAAAAGAAAGTCAAGGTGACAAAGGATAAGAAGTGCTGTCGAATAAGCTGAAATAAATATTTAAACACTTAACCAAAGGCGCCGGTTAGTGGCACAGGAAGGTTTGGAGTGTGGACTGTCAGTGATATTGGACGTTCAAAGTGAAATGTTAATACAGCACTTCTGATCTTCAAATATACCACAATGTGGCTAAGCAACTGTTTATCGCCAGTGCAGTGCAACTTAAACAATTTTCTAATAATTCTAAAATTTTAACAGATAGCTTGCCAAGGGATATAATTTAGTTACTGATTCTCTTTATGTAACAATACCTTTTCTTTAAAAGAATCAACCCGTTCTGTGCCTACTACTACTTGAACAGCGTCTAAAAATCCTGTAATGTTTCAACTCATTCCTAAACATACCCCCCGCGCCTGTACCTAAATTTTCTTTTTAATATATTCCAACATATTATCACAAGACGTGGTGACGGCACACTCAAGTTTTTTCAACTTATATTAATGCCGCTACCAGCACAGGGGACAATGCAATACTCAATTTCACCTAAGCGAAGTGAGGAAAGTCGTGTAAAGTGCCTTTCCCAAGGGCACAAGATTGGTGGCATGTCAGGACTCGAACTCGGGACCTCTGTCCCCACTGAACCTAAATTGTACCCCAATTGTACCCGAGTAAATTCGCCACAAAAAGCTACCCACATGAATCAGTCGATTATCGATGTTTATGCCGCCCACTCGCACGTCACCCAAGTTCCCATTAAACTCTCTGTGACCCTAGCCTGACGCCGTTGAGCTAAATCCTTGAGCTGCCACATACGTCACAGGTCAGGTGTTTATGGCTAGGGTTTGGATTGGTGCTAGAATTAGAGTTAGGATTTTAAGCCAAGAGCGGCCCAAACTGGAAAACATTCCTACCTGGCCTGAAGGAATCTACATCTAGAGTTGGCATCATTGTTCATTGTTGTGGCTGTATCTCCCACATCACGACTAAACCCCCTCCCACCCCAAAGTGTCGGTGTTGAGCCAAATCTTTGAGCTGCCGCGTACGTGAGAGGTCAGGTGTTTAGGACTAGGGTTTGAGTTGGTACGATTAGAGTTAAAGTTAGGGTTGGGATCATTGTTCAGGGCTAGGGTTAGACTTACAATTGCGGTTAGGTGAGGTTTAGTCTCCCACATCAACACTAACCCCCTCCAACCCCAAAGTGTCGGTGTTGAGCCAAATCTTTGAACTGCCACGTACGTGAGAGGTCAGGTGTTTGGGACAAGGGTTACGGTTAGGGTTAGGGTTGGGGTTGGGATCATTCTTCAGGGCACACACACAACCCGTTGTATCAGGTCTGGACCCCCAGGCAGTGTCGGAGTCAAGTATTTGGCAGGATCATGCAGGTGATATGACCACCGTACCAAAATGCACACATTGACCTATTACCCTCACACTATTGATTATGTATGTCAGGAGTCTACATATTGGTCGACAGTTCTCTTCAGCCGCCAAGCGAGCGGTGACTGAGAACAGGGTAAGCAGAGCTGTATCTGTTGAACTGGGTTTCTACGACTTAGCCATAATAAGTCGCCCATGTTATTTGTATTCAATTATATTACTTAAAACATACACGGTGACATACACAATGTTTCATCAATATTCTCAGGTTAAAAATACATTGGTGCAACTATCAGGTGATGGCCGTGTGTACTGAAAAACTGTTTGGTGTAAACGTCAGCAAAGAACAGAGACCATAGCTATCATATTTGATGCGCTTTAATTTCGTCTCTCACTGTTAAGGCAATGAAGCATATTGTTAAGGGCACAAAACAGCCATTGGCTGTCAGCCTAGTGGGAGAGGGTGACCGCTCGGTCACTCAACCCTGCACGAGAAGGATGACGCTCCCTCCTCGGTGCAGTACATGCCGTCCGGACAGGAGGCGCTGCTGCACTGGTAGGGGGCCATCCTTTTGGCCTGAGCCGGATCTACACATATGGATGCAAGACAAGAGTTTAAAATCCGTTATGTGACATTCGTAATGAAGTTTTTATGCTACATATCTAAAATGTGCAGGAATAAAGTATAATTGGCATGATGAAGAGCGTAAAAATGCAGTTGACTAGTATGAATTTTATCAATGCATTCGTTAAATCTTTTGCTTGCCTTAGATTTAAGTTTTACTCGATAAATTCATGTTTATAAACCCATACTTACTTACAACGGTTAACTTACAATGTAGAAATACTAGCTGTCTACTTTTATATTTACATATTATAGTCAATTCATGAAGATTCATTTATCGTTTCTATATGCAAATTAACGGTAGAATTAAAACTTGTACCTATATTTAGATATAAGATATATCCCAGATCAAAAGTTTACTCACCATCACATGAGAAGTAAAAGGTGTGATCCACGCATGTCCAGCCAAACGGGCACTGGTTTTGGGAGCACCAGTCTGGGGCTACGTAGAAGAAATCAATGTAAAAAAATGTATGATGTTTACCTTCACAGGGTCTAGCCTAACGAACAGCTTCTCGTCTTATTGCTACTTAAACACATTCATAATACATGGTGACCAGTTACTCCAACCCTGTCCTATTACAAAATGTAACCCAACACCACAGGTGCTGGACACGTCTTGTCCAGGACAGTGACTTTATTTGTTCGGAGAAGAAGAAGAAGAAACAGCAAAAAACAATGTTTTCCTTCTGCAAAGGTAATCACAAAAAGTTAAAGTCATGTGAATAAACGCTGTGTGTTAGAGAGAATAGCACAGTTTAGCTATAATTTTGAAGAAATGGAAAATCTAACGAACCTGTTTCACAGTTGACGCCCTGGAACACAGTCAGACAGCGGCAGCTGTAGGAGTTGATGCCGTCATCACAACTGCCGCCATTTTGGCACGGATTGGAGGCGCACTCGTCGATGTCTGTTCAAATGGTTACAGTTTGATGTTGTAGTGAGTGAGCATATATTGATGGCATAGATAATAGACAATGGTCCCCTAACCATACCCAAACGAATTTTCATAATTTTTGAGCCCCGTACATGTACGAAACTTTGAATTTAGCTGAGTATTGACATAGTTTTGCAGAACCGATCATGTCACCTTTTATACTAACAAAAGTGCACATATTACCGAATATTGCTGTCGTCAAACCACAGGATAAACAATACATGTAACACATTCATTCGTTCACCTATGGCTGTGTATGTCTTTCAGCTACCATTGTACGAATACTTACAGCATCCAAAACCATATTTCGTTAAATGAGTGAATGTTAGTATATAAATATTTCAAAACCTGGAAACCATGATCTTTTCTGCGCCTTTGATCTGATTTTGTTATTGTGAATTTCAATGAAAAGGACTCAAAGATACTCACCGATTTCACACGCCCTTCCATCGAACCCATCAGGACACCGGCAGAAGTTGGCAGACCCGTTGAAGCAGGAGGTGCAGTTTCCGCCGTTCTGACATACGTTCGGTTCACACGATTTTATATCTGAAATTATCAAACAGTTTTAGTGTAATTTTGATATTAGCTACCAGAAACGTTCGTTATGTACTGTTGTTTTAGTATATGTACATCTAATCATGGTAGGATTGGTGCTCGTATGTTCCAAAATATGTCACATTAATTTCCTTGCTACAACATCTTAATTTGTAACTCTTATTAAAGATCATCTACCTTTCAACTTCAGCACAGTTGATTGAAACAAAAGCTCCATAACAGTTCCCCGTCTGTCTCTTCTTTTAAAAAATGACATCTGAAATATTTCAATGAGGCAAAATGGTGTACCAGACTGGCAGACGTAGTTGTGTTGCTCCGTACAGAAAGCAGTCCTTGCCATGTAGTTGTTGGAGCTGTCCAGGAGAACACACAGGTCCAGAGGGGACGACGGTTCTTCTGCCAACCACTGAAGGGAACCTTGCAGGAATGCGGATTTGTTCTTATATAGCATGTATAACTAGTCAAGTAGTGGGCAAATCTATGCTAAAAAACGACTGTGACTCCATTCGAGCATAAACGATATATTCTTGCACATGCTACACACTTCTCCCAATCAATATCATCTTAGTAATGAAAACCAAAGCTAATGCAAACTATTAGTAATCGAATGGCTCATCTTATTGCCTAGCACGTAGTATAAACGTTACTCAACACTAGAAAATGCTGTGGTCTTGTCAGTAGCTTCTTGGTAAGTATCTGCCCTTGATTTTTTTTTAGTTAATTGGCATACATATCTAGCGTAACGAAAACTGAAAAATATGTAGTTTTCGCAAAACCGGCTGAGCTATATCAGGTCGATAATACTGTAAAACCCTGTAATACTGTAAGAGAAATCATAATAGAAAGTCTAATCTTAGCGTATGACCAAAAGTAATGACCAAGAAATAATTTAGACAGAGCATAAACACTTGGCGGAAAAATGCTGTTGTCTTTTCAGTAGTTCCCAAATATGCCATTGATCTTTATTTCAATTTAGCTCAAGGTAAACTACATCAAAAGGTACTTCTGGCACAACCTGAGTACTACTAGGTTCAAGTTAAAACCGTAAAGCCCATCCTACCAGAACTCTGAGACCCGTCGCTGTAGTAGACCTGCAGCGGGGCACTTCTCATCGCCAGCCAGTTGGACACGCCGCTGGTGGCCGCCATCTTGTCAGCCAGGAAACGCTGCAGCTGGTCGTCCTTCACGTCCACCAGGCGGCCGGCATTGGTACTGCAGGCCAGGGTCGCGTCACGGTGGGAAGCGGCCACGGTTGAGAACTCGTAACATTCTCCGTCAAAAAGCCCTCGGATGATTAAAACACAGAACGTCACTCGATGTACACATCTAAAAGCATAATTTTGCTGTATTTTGTTAGCATAAATAATTAATGCCTTATACAGCTTTAGCCTGGGTACCATCCTGGTTAGTTTACGTCCGCTCCCACAGTCGTTGGAGGGAGCTAATGTGGGAGCGGACGTAAACTAACCAGAATGATATCCAGGCTAATACAGTTTGAGCAGTTTTGTAAACTACAAGTACAAAAATGCATTACCAGTTTCACAGTGTTTTCCCGTCTTGTCCTTAGGACAGACACAGCTGTAGCCGTTCACGTGATCCAGACAGGTTCCTCCCAGCCAGCAAGGATTGCTCGCGCACTCGTCGATATCTGTAAGATAATGTATATTTTCTTGTCTTTACGTCAGACCAAAATGTGCAATTTGCTTTGGCAAGACTTTACCGGTCTGACACAATCTGTGCACTTTGTTGAAGGGCGTAGTTTACCTACAGTTGACATTGTCTGGCGCTACTATCTTATTGGCAAAGTAAGTTTTGTGAGACAATTACAAACCTTGATCACAGTTGTTCCCTGTCCAGCCGTTCTCACAGCTACAGGTGTAACTCGCCACGCCGTCAGTACAGCTTCCGTGTGCACATGGGGAGGACAAGCAGTCGTCAATGTCTACGGACAGGGAAGAACATGTCACATCGAGATCAACAGGTGAAAACTTGTAAAATATAACATGTTTCTGTTAGTCGAATGCAGAGTCCTAACCTTACCGCGCCTCAGGGTTCACATCTTGAAAATGTGGTCTTGAAAATGCTAGCAGTCACTTGCTATGTACATCCTTCCACAAATTTGATAGATAGATAGCTAAATGTATCACTAAACATGCTGATAACAGTACTATGCTAGTAGTCACTTGCTATGTACATCCTTCCACAAATTTGATAGATAGATAGCTAAATGTATAACTAAACATGCTGATAACAGTACTATGGCAGGAGTGGGATGTACTAAAATGTCTGTATGCATCAATTCAGACACATGGCAGAATAAAAATGCACTAACCTTGATCACAGTTGGTCCCTGTCCAGCCGTTCTCACAGCTACAGGTGTAACTCGCCACGCCGCCAGTACAGGTTCCGTGTGCACATGGGGAGGATGCACATTCGTCAATGTCTAGGAATAGACAGACTGATCAAATTATAGCAAGAGATACTGACTGACCCATATGCAACCTCTTATAATCTTTTTGAGATCAACATAAAAACATAAATGTGTCTACCGTATTTTGAGACTCAAATACTTTCTTTCATCTGCCGTTGGCTAATTGTGATAAAAAAGAAAAATTATACAAAACACATTGAATGGTAAAAAATAAACATTAGGATGAAAAGTAATAAGTGAAAAAAGTATATCTAATGCTTAATTACTGTAGTGCATGACATAAAATGTTACAAACCCTGATCGCAGTTGTTCCCTGTCCAGCCGTTCTCACAGCTACAGGTGTAACTCGCCACGCCGTCAGTACAGGTTCCGTGTACACACGGAGAGGACGCACAGTCGTCAATATCTAGAGGCAAGAGAGTTTATGTGGTATGTACTAGCTTGATGTTGCTCTTTAATTTATGTATCATCTTTTTCCACAATAGACTTGCAAACATAAACTAACCTTTTCTTTTCTTTTCCAAATTGCTCTCCCAAATATAATGACATCGATGACCCTTACCTGCACACAGGGCGTACATGTTGTTGTAGTTCGCTCCCTGCAGTTCCAAGGTGTGGGTCTCGTAGTCCACTCCCCAGGCGCTGTCATCACTCCAGTAGCCAGGGAGGTTCACAAAGGTGTCATCAAGGGGCTGACAGTACCGATAGTCAGTAGTTCCACACAGGTTTGCCGACAGGACCAAGTGGGTATAACAGCTGACACCGGCGTCGTCATACGTGATGCAGCCTGAGGTCCAGTAGCGGGTACACCCTTCCCTACCTGACATGTGGCACGGGTATCTCATCCCAATCGCCTCGCAAGTGGCCTTGACCTTCATATTAGACATTGAGCCAGCCGTGCGAACTTTGAAAAAAGACCATCCGTCGACAGTGGTCAGGTACTCGCGTTGACCTTAAGAACGAAAACAAAAATTATAATTTTTATGTCCTAGACGGTTGGATGCAAGTGAACTAGACTCTTCTTGTACCCTTGAATACCGGGTATGTAATTCACTCGGTGACTGTTTACCAAAAATTTAAAATCAAGAGTACATTTAATGATACCCCGACGTATAGATTGACTTTCTGCTGTCATTCTTCACTTTGCTGCAGTGGACCATGAGGAAGTTGGCCAAGTCTACCAAACGTCGGCGAGACAACTCTTGGCTATACGTTGATGAATGTTAGACATCCAGGTAAACAATACTCGTAAGAAAATTCAAACTCTACTACTGGATCAGTTAACGGATTTATTTCCGGACGTTTCGAGTGACATCCATCACTCTTCTTCAGCGTCACGAATGAACTGTTCATTCGTGACGCTGAAGAAGAGTGATGGTTGTCACTCGAAACGTCCGGAAATAAATCCGTTAACTGATCCAGTAGTAGAGTTTGAATTTTCTTACAACTCTTGGCTATGTTTTCAAAAACGTTCCCATCCCTCCTCATTAGGCGTGACAGGATCTAGGAGGTCAACGATTTAGCTAGATATCAAATCAGTTACTACATTTAATTGTAATTTAACAGAGGAAACACATAAAGTCTATATTCACCTTGTGCCGAGTCCGGCCAGACGACCACAGCCGCGATGAAGACCAGAAACTTCCACATGTTCACCATATGCTGAGTTGAGTCCAGACTCCGTGATGTGTGTGAGGCTTGTTCTGTGTGCGGTAATTTATACTGTGTCCAAAACTGGGCCATGGGAACCACACACCTGGCCGGTAGGGACGGGCGATATTAATAGTTCTGCGGAGGATATGTCTTGACCTGACGTGAACCTGTGCGCGGCTGATTGGTGAACAGAAGATAATGTACTTGTGTATACTTCGCAACAGAGTCCCATGTTACTTGCAATCTTATGTTGATACAAGCAGAATTTTATTGCACGACAATTGCACACGGTACAATGTATGGCAAACTACATAAAGAGAGTAACAGCAGTAAAATAAGTGTGTTGAATAAGACCTAATGTCGAATAAAACCTAACATATCTATATCATAATTATTCAAATAATAAGGGCTAGCTTTGATAAAGTGTTACAATCGAGTGAGATAATCACAAGTTTCGGTATTTTTTCTAATAGCAAAGCATTCCTAGCAAATCTATCTCCAATATCGAGACTCTTGAAATCTGTATTATTGATATAAGGATCCGGCTCAGCTCATTATAGGTGTATACTACAGTTTAATTTTCAACATTCAGTACTCTTTTCTAGTATTGTATTTTCAAAGTATCTCTGAGGTACTGGCGAGATACTAGTATATGTAAGTACTAATCAGACATACAGGTACAGATACGTTCTGGTCAGATACGTATATTCACAACTCAGTACAAGTACTCACATCTACTTGGAGGATAGTGCTTCTACTGGCTAAAAAAAGCTGCACGTATCGATCAGAAGAATATTGATTTTTGTACCGTCCCAACAAACCCTGACCTCTCACCTTTACATACATACATACATACATACATACATACATACATTTTTAATGGATAAAAAGGCGACTGCCTGTGTGATCCATATCTGAAACCTTAAAACTACTACATTACAATTGATAAATTACAAAAATATAAAATATACATTGTCCTCGCTAATACATGTAGTTTGGCGATAGTTACTTAAACGTTCAGATTTACAATGTTAGAGTTGTACTTATAATGTCCAGAGTTCAGAGTTGTTATGATCAAGTTGTAATGTCCAAAGTTCAGTAGTTTCTAACATTAAACGTTCAGATTTACAATGTTCAGAGTTGTACTCGTCTTGTAATGTCCAGAGTTCAGAGTTTGTTATGGTCAAGTTGTAATGTCCAGAGTTCAGTAGTTTGTAATATCCAAAATATCAGAGTTTGTAATGTTCAAAATTCAGAGTTGTAATGTCCAGAGTTCAAAGTTGTAATGTTCCGTTTACTGTTGGCGCACCTACGTCAGGAGTCTATTTTGGTCGACTGTTATTTGCAGCCGCCAGAGAGCAGTGACTAAGAACATTATAGGTAGAACTGTGGCGGTTTTCTACGACGTAGTCGCCCATGTATACTATATATTTTTATTTTATTTTAAAACGTGGCGGCTTGCTCGGTGTTAAAGCAACGCTTTTAAAGTTGGACCGAAAACAACGTGCAACGAACAGTTGTCCAGATTACGTCGATGAAGGTTAGACATCCAGGTAATACGATATGCCAAAAAACTGTTACTCAAGCAACTAGATATGATTTTGAAAACGTCAGACGTTTCAGCTAGTATCCACTAGCTTTCGTCAGTGACTGAGAGACCAGAAGGGAAAGCAGGTTTATATACACAACCTGTTGATTGATATGCAAATAAAGTGAAGACAAATTTTTGGAAGTCGAAAAAGGAACAAAAGTCAGACAAGTCAAGACAAGATGATGCAAATTAGTCTGAAAGCTCCTGTTATACAGGACAGGAGCTTAAGTGTTGTCTGTCCTCGGGGCTGGGAGTGCCCAAAATTCAAGTGCCGGAAAGATCGACCCGTAGCCCCCCTTCCCTGTTGAGGGTGGGGTTGTACATCCTTTCATATATTGCCTCTTTAACACCCCGTTCCCACCAGCGTGTTTCGCGGTCTAAGATATCCGTGGACTCGAGTTTGAAAGGGTGTCTCCGGTTGTGTTGTAGGTGGTGGAAAATAGCTGAGGAGTAGCCGTTGGCGTTAGGTCGGCAATGTTCTTTGTACCTTACTTTAAGCGGTCGACTTGTCTCTCCGATGTAGGTGTTGTTACAATTGGGCTCCTCACATTTGAGTCTGTAAATAACATTCGCCTTGGTACCCTTGTGAGGTCGGTCCTTAGGGTGTACCAGTCTTTGTCTGAGGGTTGAGTGAGGTTTGAAGTTAGTGGCTATGTTGAAGTTTTGGAAGATCCGTCGGAGTTTCTCAGATACTCCTTGGACATACGGAATAGTGATGTTGGCCTTGTTTTTGTTGGTCAATGGTTTGCACTTCTGGGTTTTCTTAGACTGATCTGAAGGTTTGAGCGCTTTGTTGAAAGTCCAGTTTTGGTAGCCACATTTAGCCAGGGCACCTCGGAGGTGTCTATGTTCGTCCGTTTTGGCTTGGTCTGAAGTGACAATGTTGTCTGCACGATGGAAGAGAGTTTTGATCACTGCTAGTTTGTGTTCCAAAGGGTGGTGGGAATCAAAGGCCAGGTACTGATCAGTGTGGGTTGGTTTCCTGTACACTTCGAAACGAAGGTTACCATCTTAAGCTCCTGTCCTGTATAACAGGAGCTTTCAGACTAATTTGCATCATCTTGTCTTGACTTGTCTGACTTTTGTTCCTTTTTCGACTTCCAAAAATTTGTCTTCACTTTATTTGCATATCAATCAACAGGTTGTGTATATAAACCTGCTTTCCCCTCTGGTCTCTCAGTCACTGACGAAAGCTAGTGGATACTAGCTGAAACGTCTGACGTTTTCAAAATCATATCCAGTTGCTTGAGTAACAGTTTTTTGGCAGTTGTCCAGATTATATACTTAATTAAACTCGCAATTCAGCAGATGTGTTTTTGACGAATAAACCTTTCATTCAAACCTTCCATTCATTCATTTAACAACCGTTACGTATTAACGTCAGAAAAGAACAGGCACCGCCATCATCATGTCTTGAGCGTTTTAATTTCCTGAATAATTGATAAACTTAAAGCACGTTAAGGCTGCTGTTAAGCCTTGGCTGTCAGTATGAGAGAATGACCTCTCGGTCATTCACCCTCACACAAGGGTACACTCTGCGCGGTGCAGTTCATTCCATCCGGACAGGAGGCGCTGCTGCACTGTCAGATGAACTGTAATGATCTTTGAAACGCTTTACCTTCTGCCATTTTTAATCAAACAATGATTAAGAGAAAGCTTGACAAAATGCACGCCTTTCAGCCTTTGGCTGTTTGCTGCGTGCTTGACGTTTTGGCTATGACGTCACACAGCCTTGCAGGAGAAGGACGCCACGCCCTCCTCGGTGCAGTACATGCCGTCCGGACAGGAGGCGCTGCTGCATTGGTAGGGGAACTCGCGGTGGATAGGAGCTGGATCTAGATGTTAAGAAATAAACAATAAATATCAAGGAACAAGAATATTTTGCGAACATCGTCTTACTCAGGTACTGACCGTTGATACATTTAATTAAGAGAAAAACACCTTCAAAACCATTGGCTAATTCTTTAGGAAACACATAATTTTCCTATTTCCTTTTCATAAAATCCCTGCCACATTCTTGATAATAATATATGATAATGAACCTTAACTTACCGACGCACAGGAAGTAGAAGGTGTAATCCTGGCAGGTCCAGCCAAACGGACACTGGACTTGGGAGCACCAGTCCATCACTAGACAAAAGAGAAGGAAACTGCTGGGACATACATATTGTACGGTGGAGTTCTGGCTGATCAGGATGACGATATGTTCTTGCCAGAAAAAATATAAAATGAACTAGAAAGGTTACATTTGCAAAGCAAATGCATAATGTTTACCTTCGCATATGGTCTGCTCTGTTAATTCTTACTCAAACACATCCATACGTATAGTGGCAGGAGTCTAAATCCCTCCTGCTGTAAAATTGCAACATGATGTAACCTAACACTAGTTACCATGGTGACAGACGTTTGGTTCAGGTCATTGACCTTAATTGTTTGGAGAAGAAGAAGATGGAGAAACTGAGCCCAAACCATATGTTTTCCTTCGGTAAACATAAAAAGAGGAAAGTACGAACCCGCCTCGCAGTGTTCGCCACGGAACCCGGTTGGGCAGCGGCAGCTGTAGGAGTTGATGCGGTCCTGACAGGTTCCGCCATTTTGACACGGATTGGAGGCGCACTCGTCGATGTCTGTTTAAATGGTAAAATCGTAAGACTGTCACTTAGAGTCCATTACAATATGTTTAACAAAAAAAATCATGACTATCTCTACAACTGGATGGAAACAGCACTACAAGTTAGGAAGTACAGATCGGTTTTAGTCGACGAAAAAGCAGATTATTTCGGCTTACCACTTCACTAGCATTCAATAAGACCGTTTTGAAAGTTGAATGCACGACAAGCGAATAGAGCAAAGTAAAGCTAAAGCACAGTGGGTATATACGTGAAGAGCATTCGAATACTCACTGATTTCACACAGCTTCCCTTCAAAGCCATCAGGGCACTCGCAAAACGTGGTAGTCTCGTTGAAGCAGGAGGTGCAGTTTCCGCCGTTCTGACACACGTTTGGTTCACACGGTTTGAGAGCTGGATTTATGAGATTATATCTGATATGGTTATCTCACTAACAACTGTGTTCTTATTTTGAGATCCTCCCGTTTTATATTCGATGCATTTCTTTTAGTATGGACTCCTTAACGTGGTGAAAATTATGTGGTACTTATACTAAGTACTAGGTTTTTCCATGAATAATAAGGATGGCAATAAGCTCGAATGCTAAAGCATGTCGCTGTATAGTTTGAAAGTGAAAGGACCAGAATTCACTGTGTGATTTTCACTTAGAAGTTGCCTGAATCAGCATTGACTGACCAGGAAATGTTTTTTGTCAGTTGAACGCAAAAAACAACATAAAAAACAACTGCCTTACCAGACTGACAGACATAGTTGTGCTGCTCAGTGCAGGGTGTTGCCTTTGCCAGATAGCCATCGGAGCTGTCCAGGAGAACACACAGGTCACAAACAGAGTCGAGTCCAGTTGCCG